ACAATATTTAACGTTGTGAAATGTAACGACTTAAGTTTAAATTATTTCGAACAAAAAATCTGCCGTACTTACGAATAATAAATGAACACGTATGCGCTATATACAAAATATATGAAATATAATTCCTAGATACTCCTAAACGGCATTTATTCGTGCTGTCTAAAGACGAAAAATCCATCGTACCTCAAACGTCCCACATTGGTCCAAAAACTAGGAAAGTCTATCCCTTCCTCCTCAAAATTGAGAAAAAAACACCCAATAAATGTATAATTTATTTTTCAACTCCAAATTATAGCGCTCTATAAATTTTTTTTAAAAATATTCCAATTAGCATGGACGATTTTCTCAGAAATCTGTAGTGAAACTTTTTTAAATTAACAAACGATACATGGCTATTTTATGTTATAGCAACTGGGAATTCAGCAGTATTACAACGCAAATTGTACGTGAGTTAAAAAGAAACACCAAGGTAGCAACAACTCGAAAAATATGATTAATATGATCTACAGGAGACTACAAGAGAATAAAAACTTATCAGCTCAAAACTTTTAGTCTAATATCATTATATATTTTCCATAATAATATTATAACCTTATCATAATTCATGAGATTAATATAAGACATTAGAAAAAAACGAAGTAAGTATAAAATCTTAAAATAAACAATTTTCTGTTTTTTTAAATTATTATTACTTATTTAGCAATCACTGAAACGCCAAAATGGAAATATGTTCAAAACTAAAAAAAGAAAATGTAATTTATTTTCAAGATCTTGATTTCATTTGAAAACGGTTAGAAAATATTATATTTTTTTTTTGTAATTCAAGAAAAATTAAAAAAAAAACAGTTTGAAGATTATAGGAGAGAGCACGCAACTAATTGGCTCTCAAGTAATAACTAAGTTAAATCTATTTAACTTAGTTAGAGTACTAAATGCCTAACATTTAGCTGGCAGTTTAATACTAAATCAGTGAATACTAATAATTAAGTAATAATACTTAATAATATCTTATTCATGAGTCAACTAATTAATAAGAATTAATTACTCTAGTATTAATATTATTGTGTGCATTTCAGATTTCTGATAATGTTAACAGACGGCACGAAATATCAATAGATAACCTCCGGTTAGATTAAACATTTACCTCAATTTAATACTTTCTAACTTTGCTGGTTTGTACTGCGCTTGGTTTGAACATACTAACTATTGATTCGCATCGAAGGGTTTGAAAGAGATTTTGTCACTTTCAGTTGTGCTAATTCCTGTAAACCTGTGACATCCCCGTCCACACCCCACCGTGCTAGCTATTATTTTATTAATTTAGTTTTAAGAGAACTACAGTTGATTTGAAAATAACACGTTTCCAAACTCACTCGTTACTGACGTGGTATTGACGTATAAAATATATCGTTCAAGACTAGTTATTAAAAAAAAAAAAAAAAAAAATGCAATAAATCAAGACGAAAATCGTTAAATTATTATGTATCACAATATATCGATTTATTACAAAAAATTGCTCGTGACTTTTTAATGTAATTAAATTAAACGTTTCAAGAAGACGTTTAGCATATGCTATACGTGGGCGAACAGTTTTAACGCGTCGTTCTAGTTTTCGGTACACATCACACGAGTAGCCCGTTCGCGGTAAACCTGTAAATCTTAACCATCAACAACGATGTACAGCAATTTGATAATTTCAGCTTTGATAATTCGCGGTAATTAGCGGTACACGGTATATGAAATTTATATAAGTATTTTATTTTATACATAAAAAAAAATAGTAACCGATTATGATTATTTACATAATTTTATATTTTTGCACTAAATGATGTAAAACTCACAAATAAACTTTATTGAAAAGAAAAAAATAATAAGTAAACGTATTTTTTGTTTAGTCGTTATTTCCTGTAAATTATTTACAATATGTTGAGACGTTGTCTAATGTTTGAATTGGTAATCTAGTAGAATACAATTATTTTGAACGTGTATTTAACATGCAATTCAATATGTAACGAGCAGTATAAAAAATAAAACGACTTCAATGGTGGCATCTCAACGATTCTAAATGCGATTTACAACATTTCAAATGGGATGAAGACCTAATATGTGTGGTGAAACTTAAAATTTATGTTCAAGGCTTATGCCTGTGTACAATTGTTTTAGTATATTATTTCGTATTTTAAGTAACACTTTTTTTAGTAAGAAAAATTGTCGTACAAAAATTAAACCCACTCCTTATCAATTATCATAGGTAATGAGTGTGTCTGTGTGTGTTGTATAACGTCAGTTACCGGTCGTTCTTATTTATTGCATGTACAAAAATCTTAAAGGAGAAATTCGGAAACGTTAATCTTTCGTGTGCACATTATGATATACACTAGCACTGTAATGCTCCTTATAGCGTATCTTAGAAAGAATACAATTAGTATACACATAAACAAATTTTCAAATGACATTTTAGACAATCAGTTAATTATTATAATACATTTTTTTTTTCTTAACTACCGAATATATTTTTTTCATCCGATCTAATTTCTACATTTTCGCTAAAAATAACGTAAATTTATTAGCTCGACTTAATTTGCAAAAAGTGTGCAGTTTCAAATACCGATTTTATGTTACTATAGCTATAAACATATAAATTCGGTCAGCCGTCATATTCAACAAGTGTGTAGCTCGAGCTACCGAATTTACACTGCTGTTATTGGCGAAAACGTAGAAACGTGGATGTAGTATACAAAAGTGTGCAGTTCAACCTATCAAATTTTTAAATTTTATGACGAAAAAACAGATATTATATCGACTATCAAAAATAAAACTCTTTAGTTTGAATCACCTACTTTATGTTGTTTTTAGTAAAAACGGGAAAACTCGCTCGATTGTTGTGTACAAAATTAAGGATATCAGACTATTGGTTTAGATGTAGTTTAACATTGTAGCCATTAAGATATACATATTATTTTTACGCTACGCGTTTATATATTTTTGTTTATTTCGAGAATTCTTACTTTACGTTATTTCATCAAAAAACGTTTAAACTCGATTTGCAGCAACACGTAAAAATATGTAACTCGACCTGCTGACTTTACTTTATCTTAAAGGAATAACGTCGATATTATAACATCTTCATAAACTTGCATTAATATTTAACATGTTTTTGTATATGATACAAACTAACTTTTTTTTATATCATTATGAGCACGATTAATCAAGTTACGGCTTATAAAAATATTAAATATGCCTAATTTCTTTCAAATTATGAGAGTACATGTTATAATATTATTCAGACTGTTACGAAATAAATTACAAATAAATATAAGTTTTAATTATTTTCACCGTGTATTTTTGTCTGCGTGTATTGTTACAATCGGCTATCATGATTTTTCTAATAGTTTTTACTGATATTCAAAATATAGAAATCGATTTACCTCATTATAAAACAATAAAACTTAATTTGCAAAAAATAAAGTCAGCGGCTTTACGTTATTTTTACATTAAGCAATTAAGAAATTTACTCGACCGTCGTGTGTATAAAGTGTGTGGCTCGACCCATCGAATTCGTGTTACTATAGCGATAAACGTATAAATTCGGTCAGGCATCTTATACTAAAAGTGTGTAGCTCGAGCTATCGAGTTTACGTTATTTTTAGCGAAACCGTCGAAATTAGATTGGCCATCGAATACGAAATGCTTTAGTGCAAACGACCTACTTTATGTTATTTTAGAAAAAACATAAAAACTTGCTCGATTGTTGCGTATAAAATTAAGGATCTCAAACTAAACGTTTTTTTTTTTATTTCAAGAATTCTTGTTTTACGTTATTTTACCAAAAAAACGTTTAAATTCGATTTGCAGCAATACATAGTACTCAAAGTACCAACCAGATGAAGTATATGGTATATAGAGTTGCTACTCGAAGGAATTGGTCCAGTATTAAAAAAGTTACATTGTATACAGACACAAGAAAAGCCCACATAAATCAATAGCATCGCTGCTCCGCATCCAAGCTAAAAATGAGGTAAAATATTTTGAATATCAGTAAAAACCATTAGAAAAATCATGGTTGAAGATTGCAAAAATGCGTGCTGACAAAAATACACGGTTTAATTAGAAAACTCGTATTTATTTGCAATTGTTTTCGTAACCCTCTAAATAATATTATAGTATACACTCTGATCATTTGAAAATAATTAGACATATCAATTTATTTTATCAACCGTAATGTAATTAACCGTGCTTATTATAATATAAAAAAAAATTAGTTTGTATCATATACAAGAACATGTTAAATATTAATGCAATGTTTATGAAGATGTTATAATATCGACGTTATTCCTTTAAGATAAAGTAAAGTCAGCAGGTCGAGTTACGTATTTTTACGTGTTGCTGCAAATCGAGTTTAAACGTCTTTTGATAAAATAACGTAAAATAAGAATTCTCGAAATAAACAAAAATATATAAGCGCGTAGTATAAAAATAATATGTGTATGATATGATGTTAAGCTATGTCCAAACCAATCGTCTGATATCCTTAATTTGATATACAACAATCGAGCGAGTTTTCCCGTTTTCGCTAAAATAACATAAAGTAGATCGTTCGAACTAAAGAGTTTTATACACGATAGTCGATATAATATCTGTTTTTTTGTCATAAAATTTAAAAATTTGATAGGTTGAGCTGCACACTTTTTTATACTTCATCCGATCTAGTTTATACGTTTTCGCTAGGAACAGTGTAAATTCGGTAGCTCGAGCTACACACTTGTGGAATACGACGGCTGACGTATCTTCTTTTCATTAATATTCAACATGTTGTTGTAAATATTAATAATTAACTTTCTAATCAATACCGTGTATTTGTGTCAGCGTTTATTATTACAATCGGCAATTATGATTTTTTAAACTGCCCAGTCGGACCAGTATGGTAACTCTAATTAACGTCCGGTCCGATAAGCAAACTATATAAATACAGGAGCCGCTATCGGCCCGGCGTCTTTGTTACATTGTAATCTGTATATTCTATAGAGTACTGTCGAAATATACGATAATATTATTGTAATCTTGGCTGTTACATTTGTCTGTAGTACTTACACTTTTACATCTTTATTACTAAAACTCACACTACACACCGAATGAGTTAGTGTCCACAGCCGCTGCCAAAGGTACGAAATCAACTCCCAACTCTGGACTGTAAGTAAGTAATTATTTTTCCGTTTTAAACAGTAATAATTTAGAAAGCATTTTTGAAATTTTCTTGCTAAAAGTAAAAAAAAAATTTATTATTTTTGGTGACATCCCTCGACGAGGCAATTTGTCGGAAAACCATATTTTTATTATTATTATAGTTTTCGGTAAAAGTAAAATGTTGTCTTGCTTTATGTTTAATTTATTATGTATCTTTTACGGGTTCAAAATAAAAATAAACTGCAAAATCTCCAGAGCATAGCACCTATGAAGTTAAATACATTTATCATTATTAAGTAATTAACCAAACCATTTCTCTGGGAATAGGAATAATCTTTGCTAAGGAAGGTAAATTATGTGCCTAAAGTTCTACACATAAAGTTCTTCATAACTTATAATATCGACATTGTGGGCTTAGTAATTCTCTTAAAAAAAGTAGTTAGCAATTCGTTAGGAAAAAACTAATAAATATATATATTTTTTTAATTGCTCTATTATCAATAATTGATAATATTATAAATATAAATAATATTATAATATAATATAATAAATTATTTATATTACCATTTGTTGTTTTATTGTTAAGAGCCAAAAGGCTGGTTGGCAGCAATTTTCCACTCCTGGCGCATCTCCGCCTTCATTTTAAGTTGACAACACGATCTGCAGTCCATATCTCAAACTATATGACTAATATATTCCAGTGGTGGTCGCCCTTTGCTATTATTCCACTCAATGGCACCCTATATTGTTCTGCTAAGTAGACTGTTATGGCGCAGTATGTGTCCAATTAACTTGGCTCTTCTTGTTTTTAAGGTCTTCAGAAAGCTTCTTGTTTCTCCGGCTCTTCGATAAACTTCTTCGTTTGTTATGTGTTCTTTCCAACTTGTTCTAAGCATTCTCCTGTTACACCATGTCTTAAACGCTAGGTATCATTTTTCTTCTATTTGACCTATGGCCCATGTCTCACTTCCATGCAGTGCTACGCTCCAAACATTTCTAGATATAAACATATTTTTCTTGCTCTGAAATGCATATTCAGCCTGGTTTGTTCTGCTTATTATCTTCCTGTCATTACGGCCGTCCTCGGTTATCTTATTTCCCAGATATTTGTATTCATCCATTTGCTCAAGTGTGTCGCCATCTAGTGTTATTTGAGTTTGGGTTCCTTCGTTACGGCTACAAACAAGGACTTTAGTTTTTGCTTTGTTTATTTTCATATTGTATTTATTTTTCATTGTTTAATTCATTATTTCTAAGATATTCTTAAGTCCTCTCCATTGTCTGTTATTACCACTATGTCATCTGCAAATTTTGGCATATCTATTCTTTCTCCGTTTATTCTTAATCCTACTTCAATTTCTTCTCTTCCTTTATTCTTGCACATATAAGTTAAAAAGGAATGGAGACAGTGTGCACCCGTGCTTTACTATTTTCCTAATTCTGGGCTTCTTTTGGGCTATTTCTACATTGTACTACTCCTATTTCTTGTTCGTGCTAGCTTTGATTATTCTTCTATACGTATATGTCAACTCGACTCTTTTAAAAATTACCATTTATTACCATTTATGCACCATAATACTTGTATTTTCTAATTTAATTTGGTATACATATTTTGAACCAAATGTTTTAATTTGGTTCAACTAATGTTTATGCAACGTTTATTTAATAAAAAAAAATTAATATTTAATGATTTTAAAAAATGTATTTAATATGTTTAATCGAAGTTAAACGTTTAAAAAATCAATCTGTTTACCTAATGAACGCTAATAATTATACAAATCGGAAACCCAATACTTATTTACGGTATTTACCTATATTGCTTTTTTTATTTTACAGATCTCAGTCATATTATGCTGTTCAGAAGGTCGACAACATGGTCGCATCTCATCATTTTACATGTCGCTATCTTAGTAGTTTGCACAACAGGTTTGCATCGCGGTGTTATTTGATTTAAAGGTAATTTTTTCAAACTATAATTTTTCAACTTTATATTCATTACAGGAATTCCATTCGATAACCCGAGGAATTCGACGCATGCCAAATGGAATACCCACAATATGTCCACGTGGGACTACGTGGCTTCATTAAGCGCAAACTCCAATACCCTGCCATTGCTCAATGTCAAAGTCAACAAAAAGATTATGTCGGCCGTGGAAATGGAAAAAATCGAAAACGATACGCTTAAACAACTCAGTTACTTGAAGGTGCGCACACCGGTTATTTTCATACACGACTCAAACCGTAATTTTGAGTTATGTAAACAGAGTACTCGGGTTTAGCAATTTCATTTTCAGATTTAGAAACAAAACTTAGCATTTTGAAACCCAAAGTTCAAATTTTGAAATTGGAAATTTGGATTTTTTATCCCAAATTTATGTCACATCGTTAATACTAATAAGCGTGGGGGCCATAGTGTAATATGGATAAATCGTTTCGTCAATAATTTCGGAAAGTACCTGTTCTTTACAGTGCAACCACATTACATAAATCCTAATTTTATACGGTAATTGGTAAATAATTGTGGTCACACTACTTGAAAAAATGCATTTAATGTTACTTATCACCACAATTTATTATTTATATCATTACCTTAAATCATGCTAATTACTTATAAATTATGAGAGTAGGTTGCCAATGGTCAACTGTAAAAAAGAGAGACTGGTCGAACCGAAGTGTAATGCAGGCAATCTAGAGTACTGAATAATTAACTGAGAATCAACTGAAATAGACAAGGGACGGAAATCAGCCAATCCTAAAATATGCTTATCATTCATTGTGTTTCATTCGAGAGACTATTTGCATTTTAAATCTATGTCCTAAGGTTTAGGTTTGATTTATGTGTGCAGGGAAACTACAGCAAGAACTTCAACAAGACAGACGACAAGTTAAACATGGATGATGCCAGAGCTTCTCAGCCCGAACTGCCGCCTTTCATAGGCAAAGTAGTTGAGCTCCTAAATATTAATCAAATAGTCTTCCAGGGACCGACCAAAGGCATGTTTGATGTGCCGTGTTTAGCATGCCAAAGCGGCGTCGCTCTGCTGCAGCTTTTCATACGTAAGGGTAGGACGCTTGATGACATCAAGATAATGGCAAATGACTTCTGTAAACGTTTAAATATGCAGACGCCTCGTGTCTGCGATGGCATCACCGATATGTTTGTTGTAAGTGTGGTTAAATAAAAAAATATTCCAAATCCATCGTGTGACTAAAAAAATAATTCAATCTTCCCTTGAAGGAAAGACATTGGATTATAAACGTGTCTTATGATCAGCTGATTCTACTATCATTCTTGTCTTATCAGCTATCCAAGATTACTATTTCGCCATCCCATCTGCATTTATCACTATTCTCCCCCTTTGTATCACGAACATTTTTGACGCACGACCCTGCTATAGGCTATTTTCATGTCAAAACAATTCGTAGGCAAGTGATTTCATGTCCTCTCGGTCAGTCAAACTAGCATCCAACCTAAACTTATTCTTATTCTAGACAATCCTGTTTTCCCAGCTATCGGCAATGTCTAACACACTTATATTCACATTACAGAAGTACGACACTTTTTGTCTCTTTTTTCCACCTCATATGGAATTTTCTTTCACCATAATCATTTGTTTCACTAGCCTAGACTCTTTTCATTCCTCCATTCCATTGAACATAAGTAATCCAAAATACTGATATTCATCTACTTAATTTACCGCATATAGTTTTATATTTTTGAAATTGGTTACTATTTGGGCATTCTATTCTTATTTCTTGAACCCAGGGTGAAGTTGTATATATTCTGATGAGAACAAAGATGAAGCCCAAACAAATATGCAGTTTTGTCATGGGAGACGTCTGCGGAGACGAGTACGACCCCACTCACGATTGGGATGTGGTGTTCCCACCGGTGCCCAAACCAACTCCCACCGAAATCAAAATTCCAAAAGTAACATCCAGATAATTTTTTCTTACAAACTTAGCCCACACATGTTTGTAACGAGTGTTTCGACTTCTACACAGGAACCAATACCTCAGTTCAAAGTGTTGCACCTGTCCGACAATCATTTCGACCCTCACTATGAGGAGGGAACGAACGCCGATTGCAAGGAACCGCTGTGCTGCCGACTAACCAATGGGCTGGCAGCCGACAACCAGAGCAAAGCTGGGAGATGGGGAGACTACGGGAAATGCGACACCCCCAAGCGCACTGTGGATAATATGCTGCAGCACATCGTAGCTAATCACGCCGTAAGTGTTGATTTTGACAGCTGATAACATACAAATGATAAAAGATCGGTAAAAAGAGACATACGGTAATGGCTCCTAATAAGAGATCAGATATTAAGAGGTTAGGAGAAGACTATTGGATAGATCAGGGAGTGGAAAAAGAAGGGGATTGGAAGACCGTTTGATGATCATGGCGAGAAGAAAAAACATATTCATTTTACGATTCTACGTGTCTCCGTGTAGTGGAGTCATTTTATGTGTTTAGCGATAAGAACTCAACCGCGGACATAACCTGCGATTTTTCCAACTTGACCTTTGACTCGTTTGACCCGACAGGACATCGACTACATTATATGGACTGGTGATTTGCCGGCTCACGACATCTGGAACCAAACGCAAGAGGGGAACTTGGCGATACTTAAGGAATCCGTCCAGCAGATGATGACCATGTTCCCGGGAGTGCCCATATTCCCGGCATTGGGCAATCACGAATCGGTTCCGGTCAACAGGCGAGTGACTGACAACAGAGCTACGGTGGCACCGCAATCGGTACTTGTTGTGTGATATGTAATAATAGTATGTGATTGAATTCCAGCTTTCCGTTTAGTTCCGCGGTGAACACTCCAGAATACAGTATCGACTGGCTATACAGCGAACTGGACACGCAATGGCGTCGATGGCTGCCGGACTCGACGAGCAGGACCATCAAGCGAGGGGCGTTCTACAGCGTCCTGGTCCGTCCTGGTTTCCGGATTATCTCGCTTAACATGAACTATTGCAACAACTTAAACTGGTGGCTGCTCCTAAACAGCACCGACCCTGTCAATGAGCTCCAGTGGTTCATATACGAGCTACAGAACGCAGAGTTCAACGGTGAAAAAGTACACGTACTCGGGCACATACCACCGGGAAGTTCGGAATGTTTAAAAGTCTGGAGTCGCAACTATTACGCAATCATCTCCAGGTAGCCAAAGCGTAGGCTTACGCGACCCAACAAAACCTGATCTATTCCGCCCCCCCATCACTTTCCAGTATCGCCATAAAGCTAATTCCAGATAGTCTTTAATTAACCTCTGTACCTAACCATTTAGCCCGACCAAGGGTTGTTGCCAGTTGACAACACGTGGAAGTGGGGATAAAACTTCACTAAACAATCTAAATTAGTTTAACCCTAACCAAACCTAACCAAATATAACCTACCCGAAGAACAGATCCAAGGGAGAGGATGGTCTGATGACTCAATGGAATTTCTAGGGAAGCAAAAGTTCTGACTTAAACCATTTGACGAGTCAAGGTAAAAATAACCAAATATAAATTAGTCCAAGAACAAAATATGATGAAGTACCACAAATTCCGGGACAATTTTTAATTTTAAATAAGTTGTTATGGTAGACTGTATAAACCATAAAGCTATTATACGAATTACCATAATAAATAACGACAATAAAACGAATCTGTTGATGCTTTTACGGGTTGAAATATCACGTGGATGACTTTCAGATATATCCGTGTCAATAGTTGTTACCAACGTTTCGAACTCTTTGGTCCATCTTCAGGGCTGCGATAGTTACGAATGACATGCTGTCGTGGCTGTACTGATCGTCTCGCTCGTTTCCTACCGCTAATTATGCGACTCGTGTCCTTGAGACCGTGTTATTTCGACCAATGGATGTCGTGCGCATTTTGCGCATATCATGATGAGTCATGTTGTTCTGTATTAACTATTTATGTTTTTTAGCATTCTTCACATTTGTGTTTGCCTTTTCTGCATCTGCAGTTGATATTTCTTTCTTTGCTTTCATTTTTTCTGAATAATAGGAGTGCTACAAATTTTCCAACCATCTTCACTATTGTAGTTCACATTATTCGATTTTTATTGCTACTTTAAATATTCTTTTTCCGAAGTTAGCCTCTTTGTCTAGTGTTTTAACTTTGTCAAACTGGATGGTATGCCCGCTGTTCACTGCGTTTTCGGCTACTGCAGATTTGTCTTTCCTTTTATAGTCTACATCCCTTTCATGTTTTTTTATTCGTATCTCTATTGCCCTTCCGGTTTGTCCAATGTATGACTTGCCACATGTCCGTGGAATTTATTTTGGCCTTCAGAATGCCAAAAAATAAAATCCCGGAAATGCTAACACCGGAGGTATATGAAATTATAGTATAGGAATTATCGATTTTCCCCTTTTGCCATCCCGTCCCTATCTCATTCACATTTACTACTACCCCACTACCCCACTTCCCCCAATTTGGTCGCATTATAGGACATACGTCACTAAGGGCTTAACTAGAATTTATGTTTTAGCCGAAACGATTATTCCGATAGGATAAACACTATAACATGAAATCCACTGAATAACACAACGGATGTTTTTTTTATATTTTGTGACAGATATGAAAGTACGATAACCGCTCAGTTCTTCGGTCACACGCACTACGACGAGTTCGAAATTTTCTACGACACGCAAAACTTGACCAGACCAGTGAGCGTGGCTTACGTGGGTCCGTCCGTCACGACCTATATGAACTTGAATCCCGGTTATCGGATTTACTACGTGGACGGCGACCGAAAACAATCTACCAGGGTATGTATTACACAAGTATCTTTCTCTTGGCTCTTTTTAATAAGTTAAGATCAGTTTTTGACCAATGGGAGTCAGTAAAAAAAATTGCGTCACGAATTTAGACATGTTTCACATCATACACTTGATAAGAGATTAGATTTAATCTAGATTTTGACGTTTTGATATTTTTTGGTCTGTAAACGTTTGTTGGTAGCACTATGTTCAAATAATATTCCATAAAAATTTGGAACTAATTCCTAAGTTTTTAAAAAAATTACAGAGCTTTGTAACATTATGTTAAAAAATATTTTGAAGGGTGATTTTCTCAATTTTGAGGAAGGAGAGAGGTGAACTAACAATTTTGACCAAAGAAGTACCTTTCAGGTACGATTCTTGATCTGTAGAGTTGCTACACAAAAAAAAAGGACCAGCGGCTTAGAAAATACACAAAATTAGAAATTTAAAAAATTTAAAGTAAAAACATTATTGTAAAAACAATACCTACTTAGCTTCGAATCGAAGCTAAAAAAGGACTACGAAGGGAAAGGCTTCTTATACTCGCCTAAAACTACACCATGGTGTTCTGATCGATCCAATCGGTCTTTCACTAATCCCTTATCACTGATCCATTGACAACAGCCTTTTAAGACCAATGTACTTTTAATTGTTGTTGAATGTTATTTTTGAATGAAAAAACTATATAATTCCTCATTAAAATACAACAATTTCTCAACACAAACAGATTTCCGATCCACATACGATCAGTCTCAACCATCTCGACTGATAATAATTAACATTCCAATATGGTTGAAATTTAACAGTAAAAAAAAATAGATTTTCAGTCATTATTAATCTACACATAGACCCCTCCCCCTCCAGTTGCACCGATGGTCGTCTAATACCGATGTTTCTGTTAAACAGACAGTGCTGGATCACGAGACGTGGGTGATGAATCTAAAAGAGGCGAACCTATACGATTATCCACACTGGCAGAAATTGTACTCGGCCCGGACGGCGTACAAGTTGCCAACGCTGTTGCCACGAGACTGGGACGCGTTCATCAACAAGCTAGCCGTCGACCGGGAAACGTTCGACTTGTACTACAAGTAAGCGACGACACGGGAGAAGTGGACAATGACTGACAAGGACGTGTGGCGATGTTAAACCTTATATCCGTTTCTGTTTTGCAGGCACTATTATAAAAACTCGCCGTTCCGACCCGAGTGCAACGCCGAGTGCAGAACGCGCAAGATATGCGACCTCCGTTCGGGTCGCTCTCATGACCGGGAAACCTTGTGCCAGGGAATCTAGTCCCGGATCCACCACGATACATTATGTTAGTTCAATTCATTAGATAAACGTCATTAGAGAAAGACGTTTACATAGGTAAAATGGTACATTCAGTGTACTAATCAAATGCAGCCCCCCATTTTTTCATTTTACAACCCATATTTAAATGAAGTAGTCCTCCAGAACCTGGACTATGTAGAAAATGCTGCTTGACCGTTGACTTCTTAAGTTAATTATAAAATAGTTTACTTATGTGTTTTTATAATGTTTATTTTATTTTTATTATTTATGATAATATGTAGAATTTTCAGCAGCAAGTTCAAATATTATAATCTGTATACACCTACAAACCAATTCAGGTTTTAAATGTCCCTACATGTAAATTGTATAAACGAGTATACAAATATGTTATATTATTAATAATATATTCTAATAGTTAACTATTCGATTAAATATTCAATAGACGTAGCAACTATATTGTAACGATCGTAAATAAACCGCGAATTTCTCTGATTTAAAACTAATATTAAATCAAACAATTTAGCGTCATTGCCATAAATAGGAGGTGTCATAAAGACAAATTTCTTATCGCTTGGTAGAAAACACACAAGCACTATTTAGCCGGCAGTATTATCATAAAATTACTGGTGACTGATAGTGATTGCAAATAAGGATGCGGTTTGGAGTCGTCGGTCATAACTACATTATAAAACTGCTGTAAAAAAACTCTGAATCCGCTCATTATTAAAGTTAATATATATGTGTGTTGTATAACGGCAGTCGCCGATCGTTCTTATTATTGCATGTACAAAAATCTTACAGAAAAAGTTTGGAAACGTTTATCTTTCGTGTACACGTTATGATACACACTAGCACTATAATAATTTAATATAACGTCTCCAAGAAAGAATACAATTAGTATTTACATAAACAATTTTTCAAATGACAATTCAAGCTATTAATTCAATTGTATAGTACATTTTTTTCTTTTTCTAAATACTTTTTTAAAACAAAACCAAATTATAATTTTTAATATAGCTATAAATGTTTCTTAGGAGGAACGGAAAGCGTCAAATGTTGTACAAATAAAGACTAAAACGCAAAGTCATTTTCTAAAGTGTCTACCGACCCGATTTCAATTTTTTTTTTCATATTTAAGTATTAGGAGGAAGAGTGGCCGAGTAGGTAAGGCGGCACTGTATAAGATGCATATTTACATAAAAAAACACTTGTGTGATTTTTTTAGCAAATTTTTCGATACAAATTGAAATTAGCAAAAACACAAAATGGTTCTTGGCCAATTTAGACACCAGTTTTTTTTACAAATTTATTATTTTCTATTTATTTATTTAAAGTAATTATCACCCTTCTGTAAATATGTAGTAGTAGCTACAGTGTAGGAACAATATACCAGTAGGTTTACAACCCAAAATTAAATTACAAGTAAAACAAATAATTTTTACAATGTGGTACCTTATAGTTGTTTGACTAATTACCAAACAGAATAATTTAAACTTTTGTACTTGCACGTGTTTATAAAATTGTAAAATCCAGTATAAAACATTTTTCTAGATATCAAGTTGTCAATGAATAATAATTTTACCCAACCAAAAATGTTATATTTTTTCAAAGGTTTAAACTTTTATCTAGTTTAACAGATTTATCAAGACGTTTGATAATGGTACATTTACCAAAAAAACAATAGCATTTCAGCAAATTTACAACACTAATAAATAATCGTAACACGTATTTACTATTTGCCATTTATTATTATTTGTATTTTTCCAGAGTAGCAGCTATTATTTCAGAAATGCAATAATTTTTTATGTTTTTAATTATTATTTCCCAAAATTTTAAGAAAGCGATTTTTCTTAGTGTGTTATGTGTTTACTTAAATTATTTTAATACACGTGTACATGTACAAGATTGTAAGATAAAATGCCACGTTGACAAATTTCATTTGATATCAAGTTGATAATACAGTATAATTGTTTTAAACGAAAATATTCACTTAAGACGGAATGAATACAATATTATGTTGATTAATTTACAATGTAAATCGTTACTTGGGTACTAATTATATTTTAAATATTCACGATTGTGACGTTTCTCGTACCGTCGTATGCAAAACCCAAATTGACGAACCAGCTGCCTAAGATATCATTAGCGTACCAATCGACTTCATTCTTTACATATTCCAAAAAAGGAGTTTCCTCTGGTATTCTCTGGATTATCATTTTGTACTGATAATCTCTGATTAAATTCTCTGCTGTCCATTCTTTGTGTAACGGCATGATGCAACTACGGGTGACAAACGAACTTACGTTCCTTTGAAACACATTCTGGATAAACTCGCTTATGTTCTTTAATTCGAAATCGACCAAATCTTCGTGGATACCTTGTTGATCAAATTTAGACCTTGTATCAGACCGTAAAGTTTTAGTAAACTCGGCCAACTTATCGTAAGCGGCCATTATACCTTGCTTAGGTTTCCGATGTGGACCTATGAAGTTAATGAAGTCCAGCGCGTCTGACAGGGTTCTTAACTTCGGCGATACGTTGTGGAGTTTGGTCAGCACCGAATCAAAACAATGATAATACCTTTGAAATGACTTGTCGGTCGTTTTATTATTTACCTTTATTTTTTCATTGCGGCAAACCCGTATTAAATGTTGTAAGAATATCCTGTACTTAATAATAACCTCCGCGTACTTACACCTGAGTACGGTCCAGATCTCCTTGTATCTTTCCAGGACGTTGTATTCGTCGACCGGCTTCAGGTTCGACCATATGTCTCCCAGTATTTCAGACATCGGATCCGTGATTGTTCTGTGATTATTTATAGTTTTCATGATTTTAACGTCTTCCATGAACCGCCATCCTGAATGACGAACCAACATGTTTAATTTGTTAGTGAGTTCCGATAGTTCTAAGTCTTCCGACACCACGCACGTAAAATCAAATACAGCAACCCAAAATAGTATTGAAATTAATGTTTGCGAATGCATTATCATAGCGTTTAGAAAATGTAACACAATACCATTATTTAATACAAAAAAAAGTGAACTAAAGAACATTGTGTTCAGAAATTTAAATAATATTTTAATTAAATAAATGTTTTGTTCAAACACATGCCGAAACTATTTGCCAATAATATTACCGTCGAGCTCATAGATTACACTCCTATCCCAAACATGATGCGTTACGCCGTTGACGTTATTTAGGGAAATAAGTATAATTTACCTTTGTCTTACAGCAAACATTGAACATATTTGTTCCAAGGAATAAGCAATGGTTCAAAAATCAATCTGTACAGCCTGACTTCGTGGACAAAATATAAACTGTCTCTCTCCCTTGATTTTAATGTAGTGGTAATTACAGCGTAGACTATAATTACAACACCAGTAAAAATACAACGGAAAAATCAGTGTTATTATAGTTATCGACTATAGTAGTATTTAAAAGTTTCCTCTATTAAAAGCCTAATACATTAACAAAAGCGGGAGGGATCGTCTACAAGATGGCAAAAACAATAATGGTTAGGGACATATAAAAGGGTATATCTTGGGCATTTTAATTTTTTCTCTAATTCTTTTGGTGACATTTCCATTTCATTCCCAGAGAAATTTTAAGAAATTGAATGTGTGAATGACATAATTATGTTTTCTTATGTAACAATGGCTAGGTTGTGTCTTCACAAATCAAAAGCACTATTTTTTTTATGTACATCATTTTTATGATACAACTGGGTGTCACTCTTCTCAACAACATCTCGACTAGCTCACGATAAAAAATTCACTCTGTACAAAATTAAAACGCTATTTTCTTACTGTTTCATAACACTGTCGAAAAATTCACATCATAATGCTTGATACATCTTAAGTGGTATTTGTTTTTAACGTTTGCAATGCAATTGATAAGCATTTTCCAATATTTATACCTCAAATTGAAAATCATTCGATCACAATCGGCTTATGTAAACACAAAATATGTAGACAAGCTCTTAATATATTATTTATTCGTGGCTTAAGCTAAAACTGTTTTCCATTTGTAGTAAAGAGGCCTTACTTTTGCGTTATGTTACCTATTGGGCTTCAAAATTAATTTGCTTAACTTTGGCTGACTAAAGTTGTCAATACCTTGAATTTTAATAGTCAAGCAGTTAAGTTATAGATTATAGCTAATAAAACTGTAATAGAGGGGTGGAAATATAATGTTCGTTATGTGAAATATATATGTGTTCTGTGATTAATTTATCCTAACTTCTCCGAATTATATTATGACTCTAACGTTATTATTATATAATATTTCCACGTACCTTATTCCGGTCCAGCGATGATATAGAAGTTGTATCTAACGTCAATGATGTTGATTAAATTTAAAACCCATTACTGTAAGAATAATTCGTTGTTATACGACTCTAAACTTATCGTCTTTGTAAAGTAACGATATTTTTCACCAATATGATTTATCTGTTCTTATGAAAGTTGACCTAACTTAATTGTAATAATATCGACCAGTTTATTGAATAAGCAATTCATATTTGCCGTATCATCAAGGACTCAAGGGCCTACGAAGTCCATAGAGGTCAAGACTATACAGCTGTCTTAAGTCCATGAATCCAATGACGTATCGATTAGCCCAGCTAGGACCTAAGTCGAATAATAATAAAATACTTAATTATATTATTATTAATATAATTTTATATTGTGTATTGGTTTAAATTTTTTTGTTCTGATAGGAATTTATTATTTTACTATAGTAAATAAAATACTTAATTCTTTAATGAAGGTGCATTTTAACCTTATTTTCTTTCAGAAATTTCCTAAAAACAAATTATTATACCTAAAACAAAATAGAAACATACTTATATACATAGTTTAAAAAGTAATACTTACTACAAGTACTTAGTACAATTAATAGACAAATAAATTGTATTGCTTCTGTAATTATAATGTAGTAGTAATGGTCTTATTTGTAATGTTTTTAGAAGGGATGGTCTTACAGTACGACAAAGTCAGGAATTGTAAGGGAAACTTATATGTCTTGGGCATTTTAATTTTGAACTATACGGGCCATTCGCTAGTTTTAAAGATATTCAGCTCACAGAGAAATATAAAAAAAATGAATGCCTGAATGATATAGACATTTTTTTCTATTTTAAACTTACTTATGACCAACGATTTCTAATCTCACTTTGTAGTTCAACTAATTAATAGGTACCTAAATGAAAAAATATTTTACGTCAATGTTATCACTCCTTTCCCTACCCATGAATTGTCTCAAACCCAAATTTCTATTGACTAAAGATTAAAAAATCTGTTATTATTTTTTTTTCCAATGGTTGTAGCCGCTTTTTGAGAAAACTTTTATATTGAATAAATGACCTGTAAAAAGGAGCGGGTGCAAGCTAAAAATTCAGCTATAAACATATTTGGTAATAAGAGAATATAGCTTGGTAAACAATTATTGATAGTATATGATATTTATTAATTTTAACACATATTTTTTTTGTAAATCATCCGATACAACGCATGTAAAACCTAATACAGCAACCCCAACTAGTATTGAAACTAAGGTTTTCGAATGCATTATCGTAGCGTCTAAAAAATATCACACAATTGAACTACTCGACACTAAAAACTCAAAATTACAAAGTTTAAAAATTTTATTACAATTTAAATTAATTTCATTTTTTGTTTAAACACCTGCCGAAACTATTTGCCGATTAAATTTGGGTCAAACTTCATAAATATACTTTAACTTTGTCTTACATTTAGTTTAAGACAGCAAATATTGAACATATTTAATAGCATGCGTTTGGTGTTTCTTTCACCAGGTATTGACTGCCAAATATGCAGCGAACCGAAAATATTTTATTTTTTCAAAGATTT